TAAATAAAAAAATACAAAATATAAACCAGGAAAGCCTTTTAAATTAATATATTAATCTAACAGTTACTGATTCTTTTTTAAGATGTGTATTAATAGGGACCATATAATCTGTATATTTAATTCCGAGTACATAGGATTTGTGTGTGTATGTTTGTGTGTGTATGTGTTTGTGTGTGTGACTTGGAATGAAACTTAGTGATCCTGGAAGTCTCAGCGGTGTTCGGGCCCCTGAGTGTCCGAAAATAGTTCCATACACTCGACGACCAAACACCGCTGGACGCGTTCAACAAAACAAGATGGCCGCAGCCACGTGTTCGTGCATACGAATCGACGGCCACCCAGTGAACCCTTAGAACATTCAGAGTTGCGGTTAGGGCAAGTGTCAATAAGGTTAATTGGCAGCACACTACTGCTTTGGGTGGTCCAAGGGTTCGGTAGAACATTCGGTATACGAACCAGCTGGGGCAAAATCTGTTCGGTTGAGTTCGTATACCGATCTAGGTGAAATTAATAAAATAATGTCCAGGAACAGGGCATCTGTTACACCTGCATCTTGGCACCTACCTTGTCACCCAGCACCCACTCTGCATCCTGGCACCCACCTTATCACCCAGCGCCCACCCTGCATCCTGGCACCCACCATTTCACCCAGCAATAATACTCACAGTAATGCGTCTGAGTGTATAACAGAGCTCCACAGCAATAATACTCACAGTAATGTTTCTGAGTGTATAACAGAGCTCCACAGCAATAATACTCCCAGTAATGTGTCTGAGTGTATAACAGAGCTCCACAGCAATAATACTCCCAGTAATGTGTCTGAGGGTATAACAGAGCTCCACAGCAATAATACTCCCAGTAATGTGTCTGAGTGTATAACAGAGCTCCACAGCAATAACACTCCCAGTAATGTGTCTGAGTGTATAACAGAGCTCCACAACAATAATACTCCCAGTAATGTCTGAGTGTATAACAGAGCTCCACAGCAATAATACTCCCAGTAATGTGTCTGAGTGTATAACAGAGCTCCACAGCAATAATACTCCAAGTAATGTGTCTGAGTGTATAACAGAGCTCCACAGCAATAATACTCCCAGTAATGTGTCTGAGTGTATAACAGAGCTCCACAGCGATAATACTCCCAGTAATGTGTCTGAGTGTATAACAGAGCTCCACAGCAATAATACTCCCAGTAATGTGTCTGAGAGTATAACAGAGATCCACAGTAATAATACTCTCAGTAATGTGTCTGAGTGTATAACAGAGCTCCAGAGTAATAATACTCTCAGTAATGTGTCTGAGTGTATAACAGAGCTCCACAGTAATAATACTCCCAGTAATGTGTCTGAGTGTATAACAGAGCTCCACAGTAATAATACTCCCAGTATTGTGTCTGAGTGTATAACAGAGCACCACAGCAATAATACTCCCAGTAATGTCTCTGAGTGTATAACTAGCCCCACAGCAATAATACTCCCAATAATGTGTCTGGGTATAACAGAGCTCCACAGTAATAATACTCCCAGTAATGTGTCTGAGTGTATAACAGAGCTCCACGGCAATAATACTCCCAGTAATGTGTATTTAAACTACAATAAATGTGTTTAGAAATCAGTCTGTGGAAATAAGATAATTGTTCTTGTTATAAATGACATTTTAGTTCTATAAATTGTTATTAGTAAATCATCTAAAATTTCTCTGAACCGCCCTGCCCCTGGCCACACCCCAGACTCACACATATAAAGTCAAAGTGTCCCTCTTTGTCCAGTTTAATGCTGGGAGGTATATATAGGAGTGGGACCACCCAAAAATGAATATAAAGCATTCAGCGTTATTCACTTCATGACGCACTTCAGAGACAATCAGTGACTTGAAATTGCCGTTAGTGAATAGCACTGATTGTCTCAGACGTGCGTCACGAAGTGAATAACATTGAATGCTTTATATCCATACCGTCATTAAACCAAAAAAGTAATTATGGATCGACTGCTTGGATCATTTTAAAATATTATTTATCTTAATATTTTCCACAGCAAGTGAGGTCATAAACCACATAACCAAATTCAGTTTTTGGGCAACTGTGACAGTAATCATCACCAGGAGTTTTAGATGAACACTTTATGTAGGACCCTGGACTACTCATGTCTAAGTCACGCTGTGCCCATTATACACCCTGTTCCAAATTATTATGCAACTTCCATTTAAGTGTCACAAAGGTAAAATATTTTGTTTTTCAGTTTAACTCATTGATGGCATTGTGTCTCAGGGCTCTTTTGATCACTGAAAACAATCTCGGACACCTGTGATAATTAGATTGCCAGGTGAGCCCAATTTAAGGAAAAACTACTAAAGGAGGGTGTTCCACATTATTAAGCAGAGCACCATTTTCATGCAATATGGGGAAGAAAAGGGATCTCTCTGCTGCCGAAAAGAGTGAAATAGTTCAGTGCCTTGGACGAGGTATGAAAACATTAGATATTTCACAAAAACATAAGCGTGGTCATCGCACTATTAAGAGATTTTTGGCTGATTCAGAGCACAGACAGGTTCGGGCAGATAAAGGCACATTAAGGAAGATTTATGCCAGATCCATGTATCCGATCAAGAGAGCAGTTGCTAAAATACCATTACATAGTAGCAAACAGATATTTGAAGCTGCTGGTGCCTCTGGAGTCCCACGGTCATCAAGGTGTAGAGTCCTCCAGAGTCTTGCAACTGTGCATAAACCTTCTATTCGGCCACCACTAACCAATGCTCACAAGCAGAAACGGTTGCATTGGGCAGAAAATACATGAAGACTAATTTTCAAACAGTCCTGTTCACTGATGAGTGCCGTGCAACCTGGATGGTCCAGATGGATGGAGTAGTGGATGGTTGGTGGACGGTCACCCTGTTCCAACAAGGCTGCGACGTCAGCAAGGCGGTGGTGGAGTCATATTTTGGGCCGGAATCATGGGAAGCGAGCTGGTCGGCCCTTTTAGGGTCCCCGAAGGTGTAAAGATGACCTCTGCAAAGTATGTGGAGTTTCTGACTGGCTACTTTCTGCCCTGGTACAGAAGGAAGAACTATGCTTTCCGTAATAAAATAATCTTCATGCATGACAATGCACCATCTCATGCTGCAAAGAATACCTCTGCATCAATGGCTGCTGTGGGGATAAAAGGAGAGTCATGGTGTGGCCTCCATCCTCCCCTGACCTCAATCCTATTGAGAACCTTTGGAGCATCTTCAAGCAAAAGATCTATGAGTGTGGGAGGCAGTTTACATCCAAACAGCAGCTCTGGGAGGCTATTCTGACATCTTGCAAACAAATTCAAGCAGAAACCGTCCAAAAACTCACAAGTTCAATGGATGCAAGACTTTTGAAGCTGCTATCAAATAAGGGGTCCTATGTTAAAATGTAACGTGACCTGTTAAAATGTTTAAAAAGTTAAAATGTTGTTATAAGTTTGATTGAAATAGCGTTTGATTTCAGTAAATATGCTGCAAACACAACAAAAGACAATTTTCAGTTCTTTACAACCTAAACTTACTGTGCGTAATAATTTGGAACAGTGCATTGTAAGTTTTTTATGTTTAAAAAAAATACTGTTATCCTTAGGAGGTTTGTTCAATAAAATTTGAATTGTACTCTTAATGGTTGATAACATGAGAATTATGCTGACTGTTATTTACATCAATTATTTAGGTGAAAAATATCATTTGCATAATAATTTGGAACAGGGTGTAGGTGCAGGGTGTGTATGACATATTTGTTTATTGTTAATTGTTTTGTGTGCACTCATGTCCTGCTAATGATTGCTGCCAACTAGGTGGATTTGGCTATGGAGCCTGTGGAGCGCCCTCTGTTGGTAGCAACAGCTAAATGCACTGAATAGCAAGGCTAGTTAATTTGCCTATTCAGGTAGATTTGCATATTGCTAATTCGGCAGGCAGGGGAGATGTTTTGTGTTAATTATTATCTTCCCCACCCCTTTATAAATATGTCATTATGTTATTATAAGTTCCTGTATGTTGTTAAATGTGATTTGGTTGTTTGTATTGCTACTGAGTTGTCACAGTAATCTGTATGTAATGAACATATGCACTAGTCCTGAATAAAAATAAAACTGGGCATGTTAGTTCCTTTTGGAACTTTGTGTTCTGTATGGATTTTTAGGGATCCCAGTAGCAGAGTCTTTGGACCTGATGGCTGGCTGGATGATCCCTCTAGCCCTGGGATAGATTAAGAGAGCTAGGCTTGAGAACCTCATGTGCTTTTATAAATGCAATAGGAATCATTATAAGTAGATCTGCAGAGGAGTAGTTAGAGGGGATGATACCTTCCTGGAAGAAGAGTCTGGTCGGTTGAAAGTGTCCCGGAGCTCTCTCCCCAATGACTAAGAAGCGGGTTTGGTGGAGGTACTCGGTCAGAAGACAGGAGTTCCGTCACTGCAACAGTGCACACAAAAATAATGTTTTAAATCTTACAAGGCTACTTGAAATCACCTATCTTAGTAAATAAATCTGAGGATTCATTTCCACCGTATGGCCATTTTGTGCTAAGCCCACCAGTACATCACAGTACCCCAATATCGATGGGATCTACACTATTTTAACATGGGAGGTTAACATGCAATCTGCAATATTTACTGTCAGAGACTCTTCTCCTTTTATACTTTCCTGTGGTCACTTCCAAATGGGCGCCTATAGTGAATGGGTGGGGTGGATTCCTATTGGGCAGAGTTTCCCAACCCCCCACTATAGATGCCCCTCTGTGCCCATTTTGCGTGCGCACTGTTCCTTAATCTGTATATTGTGCATATAAAACGAAACAGAGAAATATGCTGTGTTGAAATACTTCCTATTCATCTCCCTATGAGCCTCTCCAGTTACCTCGCAGTGGTGAATCTGTCCCTGAGGTTAACAGATGTTTCTCTAAAAGCTGCCTCTCTATCATTTTTTGGGGAAAATTGCTATTTTGTGGATTTTCTTATTTTGGTTTGCCGTCTGTGGATTCTGTCTGCACTGTGTGAGCAGGTGGGTGACATCATGTTACACTGGGTAGCCTGAGAATTTAATAAGGATATTGATGCCAAAATTAAATTATTAAAATGTATACTCTTAATGTGTTCATATGAATAAATTAGAAATATATTTCTATCTGGTTTTATATGAGCTAAATGTTAGTCGCAGACTAAGTCCCTGATAATTATAATCATATTATGCAATGCTATGTTATGCTATAATATATCATACAATATTAATTGTGTTATATTTTTTTATTATATTACTGAAAAGTCATGCTTAAAAGAACACGTGAATGTTACAAATAAGAAATAAATGTTTTTAACAAAGGAGGCTCCCTTCATTATTTTAGATTTAGGTCCCCACCACCGTTTCTCGCAAACATTTTTTACTTGTGATGATGTCCGACCAAAGCTTGTGCAATACTCCAGGAATTCTTCTTCTTATAGCAAAACGTTGAAAGCAATGCTTCACTATAAGAGGTTTTAGAGTGCATTAGAGGTTGCAGTGTTCCGTTAATCTGTTTAATAAATCGGGATTGGTTCACATACAGTAATATGAATCGCAGCAAATTATTAAATTGTATAAAACACTAAACAGACGAGTGCAAAACTGGGAAAACTGAATTTATGAAATAGCAAGGTTTGACGTGAACTTCCTTATTGTTATTCCGGTAAATAACGTTCTATTTCCTTTCTGTCGGACTTTCCAAATGATTGAAACTTTTAGCAAAAAGTAGCAATAAAATACTTGGTCTTAAAATCATCATTGTTTTAAACCATGGGTCCTCAAACTCTGGCCCCCCCAGATGTTGCTGAACTACAACTCCCATGATTCTTTGAATTACATAGATAGCCAGAGAGTCATGGAAGTTGTAGTTCAGCAACATCTGGGGGGCCGGAGTTTGAGGACCCATGGTTTAAACCCTGATCACTGGGGTATCATCATCATCTTCTACCTGTCTTATTCCAAATGTCTATTCCTTTCTAAACACTATTATTATTATATTATGAAAGGCATAGCACATTGTCAGCATTATTACCAGCTAGGTCCATCTCCTCACTCATGTGAAACCAGTCAATGTAGTTTATTTTTCTGTTTCTGGAAATGAAAACACTGGGCACCATAACAACTTTATTTCAATGACATTCCGTATGTTCAGATGAGCACCATCTTCGTAATTTTGGAATTGATGCATTCATAAACTCATAAATGGTTTAACCCCACAAGGTAAGACAGAACCAAAGACCTCCTGGTACCATAACAACTTCAATGATATTACGCTGTTCTGGTACCTGAAGTGTTCATTTATGTTGTTCAGTAAATTTCAATGTCTTCTGTGTAAATGACATGACATGTCTGTCTCTTTTTTATGTAGCTTACAATGTTTATAATATTCTTTGGATTCAAAAACAAGAAATGACCAAGGTTTTACAAGTGAGCAAATCCATTTGGAAACTAATACTTTATTATGATTATTAATTTTTTAGGTGATTTTGGTATCAGTTGCCAGAAGATGTTAAACTCATCAGTAAACATCACAGGCTGCGAGCCTCAGAAAATCAATCATTTTATTCCTATATTCTTAAGTTTTGTGTTCTTCGTTGGATTCATATTAAACTGTATCAGTTTGTGGATCTTTTGGTTCCGGATCAGACAATGGAATTCAACCGTGATCTTACAGTTCAACTTGGCCATCGCTGATGCCATCATCACACCCGCGGCTCCCCTGATCATTGCATATTCCTTGACCGATGACTGGATCTTTGGTACTTTCCTTTGTCAACTCAAAGTCTTCTTGCTGAGCGCTCACATGTACGGGAGCATCTACTTCCTCACCTTGATCAGTCTGCACAGATACTTCACCGTGGCTCACAATATAAAAGGATCAATTTTGACCAAAAAGTCATTCATCACCAAACTTTGCCTCATTGTCTGGGGATGTCTTTGTTTCCAAGGATTTCCATTTTTCTTCACCATGAGAACCTCAGATATTCACGGAGCCACAAAATGCCTCAGTTTTCATCAATCAGATCTGGTGGTTTTGTTCTTCGTGTGGAACTGGGTGATTATCTTCTCTGGACTCCTTGTACCATTCACCATAACAATTATATGTTACAGTCTCTTAAGTAGATATATTCTCAAAGTGAATCCCATGAACTCTACCAGTCAAATTATGCTGAATAAATCAGTACGGACCATAACAGTGTCTTTAGTAATATTTATTGTCTGCTATGTGCCAGTTCATATCACTAGAACATTAGGTGTCACCATCGCCTTGTTCTTTCCTTCTTTCTGTACTTTGCTTGAGAACGTTGAGGTTGCCTATTACATTACCTGGATGTTATCAGGAACAAATTGCTGTATGGATCCAATACTTTACTGTTTTGCTTCTGAAAATTTTAAAAACACCTTCATGAGGGGCTTCACCTTGCTGCAGAGGTTCAGAAGAAGTTTGAGGGTCACAGCAGCCAACGATCAATCTTTACAAGGAGACTCAGCTTCACACGAACGTCCAAGTGGACTTCATCTTACTGTTAGCACCGTAAACACAGACTTGACTCCGGAAAGTGCGAGTAATAGCAATGCGTGAGGCATTTAATGGAAAGGAAATTACTGGCCATTTGTTGGTGTACCAAACTTGGTATTCTCGGCTGATTTATGATGCATCACCCACAATGAATGGGTCTTCAAAAACTTTATCGAGAAGAATTTAAGAAGCATTCACTTGACCCGCTTGCATCCACATTGTCCCATTTAAGGAAAATTGTGCCATGCTTTTAAAGACTTTAGGTGGGTGATAGCTAAAATTGCACCCTAGATAATTGTAAACTACATTTCCCACAATTCAAAGTCTGCCTCAACTTGTAAATAAGCACTTGAAGTTATTTCCTAAGTATAATTATTGTGTATAATGTGTGTAATGTGGGTGAGGGGAGATGTAAATGTGATGATTTCATAAAAATCCATTCATCAATTCATGCATTTAACTTTTAATGATTTAATACTTTGTATAATTAAAATTATTTTCACAATTTGCACGTGCCTTTGGTTTCATTCATTTGTGTTTTCTCAAAAGTTCTACAAACATTTTGAAGCAATTTGGAGCAGATAGGAGGCAAATGTTAGAGAATATTTACACAATTTACTTTCCCCCAAAATTTGTTAAACTGCCTTTGATTTGATCCAAGTGGTTCCAAAGTAGTTGTGAATCAGTCTGAAGTAGTTAGATTGACCTTGAGAGATCAGGAGAAACTAAGGAACTTATTCCCGAATTGCTTGGATACACGGTCAGCAAGGCAGTCTTTATCAAGAACTCGATGGGCATTTGAGAAGCCACTCCAGAAGCCAATTCCAGAATAATAACACAACATTAAACATGGCATTTACCAAGGTGATCTGAATTTTATTTATATGCAGCTATATTATTATTATTATTATTATCCCAGAATAGGTCAGAATCCAATCACAAAGCACATCTAGTTATTACAGATAAAATAAATATTGATGTTGTCATGAAAGACTATGAGAGCAGAATATTCCAGTGGAATCCGTGTGTCATCCACACCATCTCAGGTTGCTGAAGCCGATGTAATATTGACTTGCACAGGTGTACACAGTATTGGTTGCCATGGCAATGCACACCTGAGCTAAGGGAATGTGATAAATACTTTATCTCTCAGGAAGGGAATGTAGACAATTTGTCAGATTTTCAACAAATTTATTTAGTTTAGAAAAACGTCACCTCGGAGGGGATATGGTAATGTTATACAAATATATTCGGGGCCAATACAAACCATTGTGTGGAAATCTATTCACAAACCGGACTTTACATAGGACACGAGGCCATGCGTTTAGACTGGAAGAAAGAAGATTTAATCTAAGGCAAAAGAAAGTTGTTGTTTTTTTACAGTAAGAGCAATCAGGATGTGGAATTCTCTGCCTGAAGAAGTGGTTTTATCAGAGTCCATACAGATGTTCAAACAACTACTAGATGCATACTTGCAAAAACAGAATATTCAAGGATATAATCTTTCAATGTAGGGTAATAACTGCTTGATCCAAGGATAAATCTGACTGCTATTCTGGAGTCAAGAAGGAATTATTTCCTAGTTTGTAGCAAAATTGGTGCTTCAAACTAGTTTTTTTTGCCTTCTTTTGAATGAACAGCAAAAAACAAATGTGAGAAAGGCTGAACTTGATGGAAACACGTCTCTTTTCAGCTATGTAACTATGTAACAAATATTTATAAGTCGAGGACAGACTAATAAATAAATAGGTAAACAGACGTTCAGAGCAATGTAGAAAGGTATACGTCCATTTTGTGTTTGGTTGAGAAAAAGAAATACAAGGAAATATTATTTATTCTGTTTGTAATAATAATAATAATGTCAGTCCTTTAGATTATATAGAAATTTTATAGGTAGGTATCTCTATGGTGTGTGAACAGAAGCCATCTCCCTGGTTGACCAGGAATTAATTTACATTGAAACTAATATGGAGTCACACAATCCCCTCTTACATTGTTAATGATCGGCATCCTAAAATCCTATGATTACTCTTACAGCAGAGACACAGCAGGATGCAGACAGAATAAAGTCTCACACTGTATCAGGTAATGCAAGGACCCTGGGGAGATATTTGGAATCTGGGTAGATGTGTGGACCCTGGAGAGATTCTTAGAACCTGAGGAGATGTTTGGACCCTGGTGAGAAGTTTGGAATCTGGGGAGATGTGTGGACCCTGGGGAGATGTTTGGAAACTGGGTAGATGTGTGGACCCTGGGGAGATGTTTGGAAACTGGGGAGATGTGTGAAACCTTAAGGAAAGTCTGGGTGGAGCTGGAATCATGGGAGAAGTGGTGAACCTAGGAAGCAATGGGGAAGAATAGGGAGCCTGGAAAAAAGTGGGGAATCTGGAAAGAATTAAGGTGTCTGGAGAGGTGTGGGGAGTCTTGGGAGCCAAGTAAGAAGCAGGGAGTCTGGGTAGGTACAGAAAGTCTGGTATGTAGCAGGGAGCCTTGGGAGAAGCTGGGACCCTGGGGAGGTACAGAAAGTCTGGGAAGTAGCAGGGAGCCTAGGGAGGAGTAAAGACAGTGTGGGGAGCCAAGGCAGATGCAGGGAGCCTCTATAAAACCTGGGATTCTAGAGAGGAGCAGGGAGACTGAGCTGGTGTCGGGAGTGTGGGAAAAAAGCACTGATTTTATGGAGGGGCTGGCAGCCTGAGCTGGAGCAGGAAGTCTTGGAGAAGCAGGGAGTCTGGGGAAAATCAGGGTTTCTGGGGATGAGCAGGAAGTCTGGGGAGAAGGGTGGAGTCTGGTATCGAACTTGGAGTATAGAAAGGAACTAGCCACTAAGTAGGAAGGGAGCTTGGTGAAGATCAGGGAGCCTGGAACAGTTTAGAATTATTAGAGTGAGCTAGTGGCCTGGGAGGAAAAGGGAGCTTGGGACAGAGAATGGATCTTTCGAAGGAACGGGTTGCCTTGTAGGGTAAGGGAGCTTGGGAAGAAACAGTATGACTGGGATGAAACCAAATGCAAAAACAAACAAACAAAAACCATATGTTGTCACCATGGAAAGATCTATCTGAAATATGTACCTGACTCACTGACTTGACCCAATCACCTGACCAAATCACCTAACCCATTGACGTGACCTGCACTCAATAACCCCTAAAGGAATCTTGGTTATTTTAGGTTAACTTTATGACCATGCAGAGCATCTTTATGATAAGATCTCATTTTTAGATGTCCTTGTGAAAGGTGAATCGAGCCATCTTCGGAACAAATCCATCAGTTTTCTCCTGGACACCTTTATAACTTTATTTGAAGGAATAAAGATCTACCGTCTGTCCTATGCTAAATATTGATACGCTTGAAACGTATTGATAAACCATCAACCATCATTTGTCACGCACTCCATCTATACTTTTTATTGATCTGTGTGATTGGGGAGCATTTTTCCTTGGCACTCACGATGGCGGAAGTGAGTGAAATCTCTCCAGATGTACTGCGCTGTACGGTGTGTCTGGAAGACTATCGAGCTCACGGGCCCCTGAAGCCACGGATATTGCCAGTCTGCTTACATACATTCTGCGAAGGTTGTCTTGAGAAACTTGGACAGGACAATGTTTACAGTATCTCGTGTCCCATATGTCGCGTGTTCAATAATGTTTTTGGGAAAGACGGTATCCAAACACTGCCCATTAACACCAAAGTGCCCTACTTCGAGACTGTGGAGGAAGAGACAGAGGAAACCAACCTCTTGGATTTCATTGACCCAGACATGCCATCCTGCCCAGTCTGCGGGGGCATCACACTGTTTGCCCCATTCGGTGAGGAGGCAGACATTACGCAGTGCCACACTTGCCAGTGGGTAAGTGTAGAAATGTTGGAGATCACAGAACGGAATGAGTTTACAAGTCATACTCCGATATGTGAAAACACTGATAGAACATTATATCAAAACAAGGGAGCCCAAACCCAAAATACAGCACCCCCATCTGGCCGAAGGAAGAGTCTGCTTCTCAGAATGATCAACTACCTGAGGTAAGATAGAGATTCAGTAACTGGGCATATAAGCATGTTATAGTGGGTGCGGGTGCATGTTATAGTGTGGGTGTGAGTTATAATATAGGTGCGTGTTACAATATAGGTGTGAGATAGTATAGGTGTGTGTTATAGTATAGGTGCGTGTTATAATATAGGTGTGAGATAGTATAGGTGTATGTTATAGTATGGGTGTATGTTATAGTATGGGTGTGTGTTATAGTATGGGTGTGTGTTATAGTATGGGTGTGTGTTATAGTATGGGTGTATGTTATAGTATAGGTGCATGTTATAGTATGGGTGCATGTTATGGGTGTGTGTTATAGTATGGGTGTATGTTATAGTATAGGTGCATGTTATAGTATGGGTGCATGTTATAGTATAGGTGCATGTTATAGTATAGGTGTATGTTATAGTATGGGTGTGTGTTATAGTATGGGTGTATGTTATAGTATAGGTGCGTGTTATAATATAGGTGTGAGATAGTATAGGTGTATGTTATAGTATAGGTGCATGTTATAGTATGGGTGTGTGTTATAGTATAGGTGTATGTTATAGTATAGGTGCATGTTATAGTATAGGTGTATGTTATAGTATGGGTGTGTGTTATAGTATGGGTGTGTGTTATAGTATAGGTGTATGTTATAGTATGGGTGTGTGTTATAGTATAGGTGTGTATTATAGTATAGGTGCGTGTTATAGTATAGGTGTGTATTATAGTATAGGTGTGTGTTATAGTATAGGTGTATGTTATAGTATAGGTGTATGTTATAGTATAGGTGTATGTTATAGTATGGGTGTATGTTATAGTATGGCTGTATGTTATAGTATGGGACGGGTTTTATGTTATAGTATGGGTGTGTGTTATAGTATGGGTGTGTGTTATAGTGTGGGTGTATGTTATAGTATAGGTGTATGTTATAGTATGGGTGTATGTTATAGTATGGGACGGGTTTTATGTTATAGTATGGGTGTGTGTTATAGTATGGGTGTGTGTTATAGTGTGGGTGTATGTTATAGTATAGGTGTATGTTATAGTATAGGTGTGTGTTATAGTATAGGTGTATGTTATAGTATAGGTGTGTGTTATAGTATGGGTGTGTGTTATAGTATGGGTGTGTGTTATAGTATGGGTGTATGTTATAGTATGGGTGCGTGTTATAGTATGGGTGCGTGTTATAGTATAGGTGCATGTTATAGTATGGGTGTATGTTATAGTATGGGTGCGTGTTATAGTATGGGTGTGTGTTATAGTGTGGGTGTATGTTATAGTATAGGTGTATGTTATAGTATAGGTGTGTGTTATAGTATAGGTGTATGTTATAGTATAGGTGTGTGTTATAGTATGGGTGTGTGTTATAGTATGGGTGTGTGTTATAGTATGGGTGTATGTTATAGTATGGGTGCGTGTTATAGTATGGGTGCGTGTTATAGTATAGGTGCATGTTATAGTATGGGTGTATGTTATAGTATGGGTGCGTGTTATAGTATGGGTGCGTGTTATAGTATGGGTGTGTGTTATAGTATGGGTGCGTGTTATAGTATGGGTGCGTGTTATAGTATAGGTGTGTATTATAGTATAGGTAGACAGGTGGATCATTTCACCGCAGTTCACTGTTTAGTAGATAAACCCTCTTGATTCTTTCAGTGTCTGAGAGATGGATAATGAATGTTCTTCTTAATAGCAATCAGAGCAAATATCTGGAGCAATCTAGCAGAAGTGGAGAATATTCCCTGAGGATTACGGGAATTGTGGCCAAAACGTCAGTTAGTCGACACTTTGTATTTTATGCTCTGGAGATCAGTTTTCTGTCCATAAATATCGTGAAACTGCAGAATTTTGGGGGGAGGGGAAGTTAGGTGAGCAATGTTCCATTGGGTTCCACATTATAAAGAGGAGATTAAATGACAAGTTGAAGGCGTGTTAGGAAACTCTATAAAGTCTGTACATTTCTACAAAGATGGCGAAGAGTTAAAAGTGAGAAACTGAAAGTGATAGAAGTAAGAAAGAGAAAGAAAAATGGTTGTTTTTAGTTTTAGTGAAAGAGACTGTCTGGGCGTTAGTTTTATGAGAGGACTGGTAGCTCGGTTAGGGCGGAGTTAAACACTATAAGCTTAGAAATGTAAATCGAGGATTATGGAATATATTTGGAAAAATAATAATATAGGATTAAATACAAAATGTATTAAAAGTCCAAAAAACATATAGAAAAAAAAAAAGAAAATAAGATAAGAGGGTGTAACGGACCGTTTCAGCACACAAGGGGTTAAAACCGTTTAGGCGTCGTCCCCTTCCAGAGACACAGGCACAGCTACTGCAGAACACCAATCCGCCAAACAGGAAACCATACGAATGCCGTAAACAGCCGAATAGGAAAAACCATACGAATAGGTTTACACTCCTAGCAGGCAAACTGGAACAGCATACAATAACCCCCCCCCCCAAGAATGAGACCAAGCTCCGTGTTGAGGGTCAAGCAGTGAACAGACAGAGCTGTGGGTTTATTGTGCTTATGTACACATTCTTACACATTAGTACCACCCACAGGGCTTTGGAACACAACCAATAAACACATACAATACACTCAGACACTCCCACACAAATTCCTCCCCTCTGCATGTGATTCAATTACCTTACACAATGGGTAATGTAATTATAACAAGCAGAGAAATACAATTTTTCCACATTATTCATAACTTGAAAACTTACATTTCAGAATCAGCATACTCCAAATACAAACATACGTCAAAATCATACAAATTGGTCCAGTGGTTCAAAAGATAGATCGTAGTCCTTTGTGACCACAGGAAGCATGGCTTTTCTGCCCAAAACCAGTTCCACAGAGTCTTCTATCCTGGAGATAATTGGGAAGTAATCAAATATTCTCCAAAGACAGAGGCAAAACTCCATTGAACACATGGCAGCAAAAAGACAGTAAAATACAATAAAATACACAAGGTTACATTAATGACATAAAATACATGACAGGCGCACAGTCGGATTTGCCGGCATATGCGCTAACCTTACCCCAACCCCCATTAAAACACGGACACAGGTTATACTGTTGGAAATAATTTGTCCACAGCTTTATTAAATTATTAATAAATAATTAAGGAATAACAAATGGGGTCATTGCCAACAAATCTTAATAATGTTAACCTCCCCCATATACATAACATACCCCTAGCAATGACCCCACAATAATAACAATAGATAACAATATAAATAACATGTTAACACAGAAACTGGCCGTCCAATTTGACCACATTTCCACCAGGTTAAATTGTAGGGGTGTACCGAGACACCGCTACCCACCATATCCATTGTAGGGGTGTACCAAGACACCACTACCCACCATATCCATTGTAGGGGTGTACCAAGACACCGCTACCCACCAGTTCCAGTGTAGGGTGTACCAAGACACCACCACACCCCCAGGTTCGGAGCCACCGACGGGCTCGAACCTACCAACCACGTGCAACACTGCCCAATCCACACTAAACCTCAGGATGCCCACTTTCTCCTCCATCTACCCTCCGATTTAACCAGGCCATTCCCCGCCGCTGTGAAAAAACGGGAAATCAACTAACCTAACCAAATACAGGGAGGGTGGGAGGGACAACTGACAGGTAAGCTTAGGTTCAGTTAAAATGGCCACTTCATATAATGGCTGGTATAAATACTCCCCTTATGGCTCCGCCCTACCCAGCATGCTAGCTGTCACTAAATTCCTGTGGCTGCTATGCCTACCTCCTGGCTCTGTCAAGGCCTATTCCTCTTAGCTGCGCTGATCCATGGGCTACATGACAGGCGCACAGTCGGATTTGCCGGCATATGCGCTAACCTTACCCCAACCCCCATTAAAACACGGACACAGGTTATACTGTTGGAAATAATTTGTCCACAGCTTTATTAAATTATTAATAAATAATTAAGGAATAACAAATGGGGTCATTGCCAACAAATCTTAATAATGTTAACCTCCCCCATATACATAACATACCCCTAGCAATGACCCCACAATAATAACAATAGATAACAATATAAATAACATGTTAACACAGAAACTGGCCGTCCAATTTGACCACATTTCCACCAGGTTAAATTGTAGGGGTGTACCGAGACACCGCTACCCACCATATCCATTGTAGGGGTGTACCAAGACACCGCTACCCACCATATCCATTGTAGGGGTGTACCAAGACACCGCTACCCACCAGTTCCAGTGTAGGGTGTACCAAGACACCACCACACCCCCAGGTTCGGAGCCACCGACGGGCTCGAACCTACCAACCACGTGCAACACTGCCCAATCCACACTAAACCTCAGGATGCCCACTTTCTCCTCCATCTACCCTCCGATTTAACCAGGCCATTCCCCGCCACAGCTCAGGACTTGACACCTAAAGCTCCTGAGCGACCCCCACCACACCGGAATAAGGCCTGTTGAATGCCTTCCTGAAGGCCCAATTTAAACAGATCACACCTTACATCCGAAAATGTACCCCATCCCACCTGGAGTACCCAGGGAGCTTTCTTCCCAATTCGTTGTGTCTCACTGTTACACCGCCCCCACCTCTGATAAATACTGCCATCAATTTTTTTTATTAAGTCGTCCTCGACACCGAGCTACCACGGCCGGGTACGTAGTATGTCTCCAATGTAACCAAGGAACCATCTCGGACCGCACCACCACCACACCCGTGGCCAGCTCCCATAGCTGGTCCACCTCCCTCTGCCTCCACCTGATCAATTCCTTTTCCGGGACCATGCCAATATCCAGAGTGTCCTGGAAAGTACCCTTTGTTACCTCCCGGAAAAATTTCTCCCCTAATGTCTTGCCACCAAAATCCCTGAAAAGCAAAACCACTCCTGCTCCACCAATTTCAAAGGAAAGCCCAGTTACGTTTGAACTGAAACGCGGCTCCCATCTGTGCCCCTTAGATATAAGAATGACCCACCAACCATGTCACCAAACCTGAAACGAAAGTAATTAGGGACAC